GACCAAGAAAAATAACAGCCTCTTTGCCTGATTAAGTGCTTACCAAGTATTAGGCATCACTTTGTTCAATCTTCATAGCTACCCTGTTAGGTGGGATTCTTCCCATTGAGATGAGGAGGCTGTGGCTCAGAAAGGGTAACTCGGCCAAGGTCACACGGCTTGTGAGCAGCACGAAATTCAAAGGCAGGTCCTTCAACTTCAAAGCCAATGATCTTCACCACCATCTAGGTGGTCTTCTAGCCTAGTGGCCATTTTCCCCAGACATAGTCCCCAGATGTCCTATGTCTGATGTAACCATTCGCTGTCTCCTCAGAATCACACACTACATTTTAACTCTAGTCTAAACTTTTTTCCTTTGCAGGTGACCTCCTGCCCCTGAAATAACCAACTGCCACATGGTGTCCCTCCTCTCCCATCAGTGAGCACCACTTTGCTCTAACTGCAAATGGGAGGCAACGCAGATGGTGTGCAAACTCCTCCTAGCTTAGCTCTATCACATAAACTCACATTACTGAGCAGTGTACTGAACCCTGAGGATGCCCAGATGAGAATGCCATGCAAAGAGTATAACACATGTACACAATTACAAGGCAAAATCTGAGAGGTCCAAATGAAGTTCTAGGCTTGAAGGAGGGATGCATTACACAGTTGGTGGGGGAAACAATCGTAAAATATTCCTCTGCAACATCTACAGGCAATATGGGAGGAACTTGGGTTTTCTATCATTTGTACTGAATGAAGGTTAAAAATGGGTCTGAGATTGTACCTTGGAGACTACCTAATGTCTTTTCCACCGTTGTTTTTCCTGAGTCTGTAAGAAACTGTTCCTGAGCCCGTATGTGGATTTAGAGTAATTCAGAAGTTCACCTCAGCTCATCAATATTAAAGAAGTTTGGCAAAGGGATGTGGAGTAGAATTATAATTTAGTCTGTTTTGGCAATATTTAAAACCATTTAAGGGTATGGAAAATTAGATATTCTTAGCATTTGGGAAGCCATAATTAAAATATTAACTTAAAAAATATTGTTTGGCTTGCTCCATTTGTTTGTCAGACAAAAAAACAATCTGTGGCAACAGCAGTCCACATTCAGGATGAATATTGCTGATGGAATAAGCTTGTTACAATCCATTTCTTTGAGGATTCGTGCATGTATAATGACTGTTTCAAAATTTAAAAAGGGACATGAAAGTCAGAGGAGGCCAGCAAACAAACAAAAATTAGGAACATAACTTTTTTTCCCACAGCTCATTCATTCTTCATCTCCCCAGAAAGACACAAAATAGCTCATGTGTTCCTCTACCTGGGAGGCCCTCGAACACTGTAGCCTTCAGGTGGCCTCTGTATATCACATCGCGGCTGCTTTCTCTGCCCTTGTTCACCTTCATGTCCCGCTCCCCCATATTCCTGGCCTAAATGCAAATATCTACAGAAAAATCTCTAGGTATTTTATTGGCAAAACCAACCCTGAAGGAAAAAAGTGAGAAAAAAGAAATGAAATAAAAGTCAATGCTTCCTTAAATTTCTTTCTCACCAATTCTGTGACTTCCTATGGGTCCAGTTTGATTCCTCTTAGGTGGTGAGGGAAATTTAGGGGCACCACAAACTTTGTCCAAATTAACTCTTGCAAAAACAGAAAACTCAATTAAATTTAAGACACGTTTTAATCTCTGTGCAGTTTGAAGAACTGCATCACACTGCATAGTAGTCAAGGCTGCTCAACTTTGTTTTGCTCCACAGGTGCTGAGAATTGAGTTAATCATTTGCCTTACTTCATGGCCCACGACTGCCATTAGTTTCAGCTGATTCTTGAATGTTTTGGTATTGATTTTATTTTTTATCCCAACTCTGAAGAGTAATTTCTAAGTCACTTACAACAGTTATGTGAAACAAGAAGGACTTCTGACCATTCCTTGACATTCTCAATCCCCAGGGCAGGTCAATATTCTTTCACAGAACCTATAAAATGTCTTCATATGAAAATTTCAAAACAGAAGTTTTGCAATTCAAAATGGAAGACCAGGTGGGTTCAACACAACTGGTGCAGGTGTAGGACAGGCAAAGGTGATTCTAATGTGCAGCCAGAAGCCCCTCAGGTGGGGCCCTGAGCAGGGAACTGCTGTCTCCTATTCATGGTTAAAGGTCATTACTGGTTTCTTACACATGTCTTATTCATACAATCCTTCCTTTTTTTCTGTTTGTTTCCAGTGATTACAATTTATTTATTCCATAGAATGAAATATAAAACAAGAAAACATTAAAATTGCTTTCTTTAGACTAAAGAAATCATCTAGTCCATGTTTAAGAATCTAACATGTTTTCTTCTTGTAATTAAAATATTATATGAGGAAATTAGCACAGAGCCAGGCATTTAGCAACACATTAGATCCTTTCATATGTTTCCTGGGTGAAGAATTTGAGGGTGTTAACCAAATGTTTTGGTTCAAAGAACAAAATTTCTTTAAAAATTTTTAATGTCAAGGCCTGCCAGAGTAAGACATTAAAGACAACATTTTATCACATGCTGGAAGTATTACTGTTATAAGCAATTAATTTGGACTTTTTTGAACAGTTCTCATAAAATATACATGGTTATCAAAACTCCCTCCATTCCCAACTGCAGGTAATGTCCTATTTAGCTTCCCCAGGCAGGAAAATAATTTGTTATGAACATAACCTATGACATCGTCTGTCGGGGGGGAAGGACCACATCTCAGGGCCCTCCTGGGTCCTCTGCAGCATCAGCTCAGCACGGCACACACTGCCAGGCCCAGTAGATATGGCAGGAACTTGAATCACTTTTTCATCGCTTTTCAAAAAATCCTTTTCCTCTTCATAAAAAGTAGAATTATATTTTAGGAATGTTATCCCTATAAAAACCTTAACTGACAAGCTCTTATCTTCACCAAATAAGAATAAGTGGGCACACCAGTTCCAATAAGGGTATTTTCATTTGTCTTTTTTTAAACGCACATCCTGACTGAAAAGATAGCTCACAGTCCTAATGTTTTCTCCTCTTCTACAGCTTTTTTTGGGTGAACTAATTCACAGAAGGAATAGATTATTAGTCTTTTCTGATGATCTATTTCTTTTGCTCATCCTCTATCGAATTTAAATGGGGTCATTATTTTAAAATGGAATTTTACACACCCTGAATCAGATCTTGTTTCCATTAAAACTGTCTTTCTCAGCAATAAAAATGGGTTATAACCTAATAGTTTGTGCAATATTTCCCAAGATACCTCATTTAGTACAAATGACACCTGTACCAAAATTCTTCCCTTTTCCACAGGCTGTTGTTAGCAAAACAAAGCAAGCAATTGTTTTGTGTTATTTGCAACCCTCCGGTTTGCTTTGCTCTTACCCAAAGAGCTTTGCTTTGGAGACTGGTGTCCACTGGCAGGGTGCTGGGCAGGTGATCCTGGCCTTTTCCTGAGACAGAAGTAACCTGTGTACCCCACAGTGCAGCTCAGCAACCACACCTGGAAGCTGGGGCCCCCTAGCTCCAGGCGGCTCCCGGCCCCAGCTCCTCCAGCTGTTATTAACAGCAGGGTGTGGTGAGCTGGGCCAGGCCAGGCTCACCTGCAGGTGGCTGCCAAGACAGAACAACTTGAGGAGCTATAGGAAGGCCCTTGCAGGGTCCTCCAGGAGGAATAGGAAATGCGTGGCATAGGCCTGGGATCAGAAGATGTGTGCAATCCTGTTATAGCTGGCAGTGTCAGAGGGGGCGTGCAGACACAGCCCACTGCCAGAAAAAAACCCTCTTATCCTCTTGCAAACATACACAAAGTCCAAAGAATGGAACAAAACGTTCCTTTCTTTCTCTATCAGGACATGTCTCAGCTCAGCTGTCCTTTCCATTTTGTTTTCCTACTCCTTTGCCTCCTGTTAGTGTCCTGGCTTCCCCTTCACTGCACCTGTGGTCAGGTTGCCAGTCCAGGACAGAGAGGCTCCTGGCTCCGTCCCAGGCAGGCGATGTGCACCCTTATGTTTTTCAGACTAGATTATTTGGAGAACAACAGACCTCCTGCGTGTACAGATCACCTCTTGTGACACAGCAGAATAAATAATTTGCCAAAAGGCTCTTACCCCACCATCCTTGGCCAGGTGCGATCAGGATGCCACAGTCTTAAGCAGTGCAGTGGAAGAATATTTTGACCCTAATTCCCCACCAGTAGAGGTTTAAATGTAGTGGGTTATTTCGACTGTACTACACCTAATACTTGTAGCAGTAATAACTACAATAACAATTAGCACGTACTTTGTTTCTGATGATTTTAAGTCCCTTATCACCTCTTTTAAGCCTCCCATCAGTACCAAGGAATAGATTTTATGGTTATCCAATTTTACTGATAACCAAAATGGTTAATTTTCCCAAATTCACAGTAAGCGGTGGCACCAGGATATGCAAACCAGGAAGCTGGGTTCCCGAGCCCAAGTCTCAACCACCAGATTTGCCCTAAGACTACATGTAGCCACAGGGTTTATACAAGATGAGTAAGTTCTCAAGTCCTAGGTTCCCAGCATCATGATAACAACTAACAATACTGTATTGTAGACTTAAAAAGTTGTTAAGAGCATAGATCTTGTATCTTCTGACTCCCATCCCTGCCCACCATCCCCAAAAGGTAACTATGTAGACATGATACATATGTTAATTAGCTCAACTCTGGTACTTATTTGACAATCAATATTCTGAAACATCTAGTTGCACACTTTACATAAATTTCTATATTTCAATATCTTAATAAAGCTGTTCCAAACAAATTGAAGTTTCAATTTAAAAAACTCCAGATGTTAACATTTACCATAGCTGCTTTATGCACACACACACACACACACACACTCACACACACACTTTATTCTAAAAATTTTTGAAACTGGAGACATGATGTCTCTTTACCCTTAAGTACTTCCATGTATGTTTCCTAAAAACAGGGACAGTGTCTTACATAACCATGATACAATCATTAAAAATCAAGAAATTAACATTGATACAATACTTAGTCTAAGATCTTATTCAGATTATTTCAGTTGTTGCTTTCATAGCAAATGAAAATTCCTGTACTGCAATTAAAAAAAAAAACTACATAGACATGTAGCCAGCCAGTGTGCTGAAACAGGGCCAATGCAAGTTGTTAATCTGTGACTCCAAACACCAGGAGCCATAGTGGCTGGAGTCTAGGCTGTGAGTGACCACAGCTCCGTCCACGTCAGACAGGCTGGGCAGTGCAGATCTAAAAGGCCAGATCCAAAAAGATGGATGACATGATTTATCCAACCCTTCTTCAAGTTGGAAAAATCATGAATTTCTTGAAATAAATATCATTTATTACTGAGCATGAAATACATACACTGTGTAGGCTAAAGGAGAAAAAACATTAGATTCAGGAAAGAAATGGGTGTTTTTTAAAAATATGGTTTCTGAAACAATGTTACAATAAAACCGTATAAACTTATTTTGCCACATCCTATCAACAGGTCAATAAGTATTTTCCAGCAAACACAAATTCTAAATTTTTTGAAAATATTCTGTATGATATCAATTTTAAGAAAATGAGTATGCAGTACAAATGATTTTGAAAAAATGGTTAAGTAAAATGGCTTGTGTTTTTCCATTAACTACTAAGTCTTATAAATGTGCATTATAAATAAGTCTTACCCAGATTCAATTTCTGGGTAAACACAAATGTTTTTGATCAACCTAAAATTATAGAATCACAATATATTTTGTGGATAAAGTGAAGGTTCCTGTGGCCAGGATTCTCACCTGGCTCTGGTTGGCTAGCTCACTACACACGTGTGGGCAATGCATTGTTATTGACTATAAAGAGCTCTGGGCAACACACTGGCATGGCTGCAAGGCTGCAGGAGAGCAGAGGAGGGGCTGGAAGGTGGCAGCTCCGAGGATGAAGACTGGGACTGCTGTGTGGGCAGAGAGGCCTGCAGAGACCGGCTTGCTGCATGCAGACTCACTGAATAAATGGGATTTTAGTGACTGACCTGCCACTGTGGAAATAAAGTTGGGTATAATCCTTTCATCCAAGAATGTTCTTCTGTCATTTCTTTGGTCACATTGAATCCATAGTGAACTTGCCTAGGGCTGAAACCCATTGGCAAGACAATTCTTCAATAGACTTGCACAATATATATTAAAGATTTTCTAAGACTCATGCTTTTTAAGCTCATTTATATCACACCATATCTTATTTCATAAGTTGTCTATCTTACCTTTGTGCTAAAACAAGGCAGGTAAATATTCCAAATATATAGTTTTCTACTATAGGGAAGTAGTAAAGGCCAAAAACTGATGAGATTTCTTCAAAATAAATCAGCAAAGTACTGAAGCATTTTTTTCAGGAGAAACAAAGTCAACAAAGCTTATGTAATTACATATAGTCATACATGTCCTTTGTTCCCATACTTGAATGTGAGCTCCTCTAGAGTAGGGGGTTTTGCACAAAGTAAAAGCTCATCACCATCAGTTGAATCAACTGCTCTCTTTTACCTCCTCACCACCACACATACCTAATACTACCTGCAAATACCAGAAGGCAACGAGCTCTAAAGTCCACCCACCCCTTGTCCCTGGGGAAGTAAGAGTCAATGTGTAATCACCTGAGCAGAATTCTTTTTATTGAAAAGTTATCACCTGGATCCTTTGCATTCAAATAATTCAATGAGTTCTTTAGGCTTTCAAGGAAGTTCATAAAGGTACATGGGCTCCAGCACCATGAACTTATCTGGTAACAAAGCTCCTTTTGTAAGAGAAGGTGCACATACAGAGCCAAATCCTCTTGCTTACTGTGAGCTCTCCACCATGTCAGCCACCCTGAAGCCCGTTACGGCAAAAGGACCCTGTAATAACATAAGCCCCTTTCTGGCTGTTGTCCCCACACCCCTTCGCCTTGGAGTCCTTCCCATCCCTGCTGAGTTCACTAACCAGGTAATTTGCTGCCTGCAGAAATGTGCTTGCTCAATTCTTAACCCCGTACACTCCCAGGAAAGTATGAAGCTCAGGCGTTAGCAGTTCTTAGATGCTCACTTCTTTAGTTCTGTTTAGAGTCCAGTTGGTTGAGGCGCTTTACGATCATGCTGTTGATTTTCTTAAGATCCTCTATGTCCTTTCCCTCAGCCATTAGTCTTCTTGACACATCATCCATCTTGTTTCCAGTTTGAACTTCAAAATGGAAAACAGTCTGTGTTACACTGGCTTCCAGTACGTTCCACCAGGTCTTGTCAGCGCCCTGTGCTGGTGTTCAGCTGAGCGCTACAAGGCCCTTTGACAACCCCCCTGCTCCAGCATCCCCCGCAGCCCACAGCCCGCAGGGCAGAGAAACTGCTGAGGACTGAAGTTACCTAGCAAGTGACTGATCTCTACAACCTCGTGGTGCCAGCCTAGACACCTCTGGCAGCTCAGCTCAGATTTTGGCTGAGAAAGAATCACTGAGAGCAGCCAGAGGAAGCCACCAGCAGGTCTGGCTGTAAGCACGTCAGAGAAGGGGATGCTATGTTGGCTCATTTTAAGATCCATTCTCAGAAAACATTTTTCACTCCTCATTTGGGAAGTGAGATTTCTTTAGATTCCAGCCTATTTTGACATAGCAACCATGACATGGTTCTGAATTACCAGCCCATAATAATTCCCCTCTGACCACTCAGACCACAGAAAGACAGTATTTTCAAAATAAACAGAACCGCTGGCAATAGAGTAAGGTAGGGAATGGAACACTCTGAGGTATGTTTATCAGAGTTAAAATTTCCAAGAAATTCAGCACAAAACCCAAACTTAACATTCTTATTTCCATTTCAGGAAGGTTTCCTCGAAGATATCTTTCAGGAGCTCATGGTGTTGGTAACACGCCGCTGGGCTCAGCGGACAAACTAACGTGGGAAGGTAAACTAGGTGATAGGGGTCCCCCTTCCAGCCTTGGGAAAAACTCTTGCCCAGAACTGCTCTACCCCCACATCTGAAAAATCATGCTGGGTGAACCATGGTCCAAGGGTGAGGGAAGGGTCGTGAGTAAACTGCTGCAGAGCAAGGCAGAGATACCACTTGCTTCTGGAGAGAGGAGTGAAGCAGAAGTAAATCCAAAACATGCAACATCCTTTCCCCTCTCAGAAGCCTCCTACATCAGTCAAACACAGGAGGAGGTAGCAGCCATGGCAGCCAAAGTATGTTCCATAATACAAATTAAATTCCAATGAAGGAAAAGGGCTCCACGTGCACAAAGAGTTAGAAAAAAATCAATATGCAAACCTGCCTAGTGGAATTCAGAAGAAGTAAAAAACACCTTGAGTATTACCCTAACCCAGCAATCTTCAAGCTTATTTCACCACGAAATCTTTTTTCCTTAAGGCAACACTTAATAACATGCCATGCACTTGGTATTTTCTGGAATACTGCTTGGTCCCTGGAAACTGATACCAAAGTTAGAAAGGCATCCACAGTAATCTCCTGCTGTGGATTATTCCTCTTTAGGACATGGAGTGTGACAACAAAATAAGGCTAAAAGTTTAAGAACTATGTAATCAGTATAAAATAGTCTTATTTCTTTTGTGTAAAAATGGCAGAGTTACAAAGAATACAAGTTCTTGCACTTCAGTTAAAAGGATACAAATTTGCACTGAAGCCCACTGACGGCAAAAAGATTTCTTGGTTAAAATGAGCACAGGCCAAGTTCATTTACAGAATGCCCGTGCCAACTCTGTTCTCAGATTGGGTTAAGGTTTGTCTAAAAGCCACAGGAAGCCTTCCCGATGACTTCAGCATAGGCAGCAGAGTGTGGGGCGCTCCAGCGCCAGACCGGCTGGGCTTGGATCCCAGCTCTGCCTGCGATTAGCCCAGCAAACACGGAGAGGTGAACTCTCTGGGTCTTAGTCCTTCATCAGTAAATATTACACACTATCTTGAGGGATAGAAAAGGATTTAAGATAATGAATGTACATACCTGGCACAGAGTAATTGTCAAATAAAAAAGCCTTCTTTATTCACGCCTTCTTTCTGTTTCTTAATTTGACTTCGCCCTCCATATAAAACTCCAGAAGCAAATATAAAATAAATCCTGTCTATACGAGAAGGGTGAAATGCTGATGATGAAGTGCCTGGTCTGTGATGTCAGGCACAAGTGTCTCTGAGCCCTGATCCAGCACTTGGGAGCTGTGAGCCTGGGGCACAGTAATTCATCTCTCCAAGTCTGTTTCATCATCGGTAAAGCCAGAATACTAACAGATCCTACACTCCAGAGTGGTTATGAGGTTGCGAGAAAACAGACATCAAGAGCTTAGCTCAGTGCCTGGGAGAGAGTAAGCCCCTAATATATAGCATTTTTTATCATCCTTACCCTTAATCTTATTTCTTATCATCCACAAAAGACAGAAGTTCCTGTGGGCTGCTCCCATGTCAGTAGGCATATCTTCAATTTCCCAACTGAAGTTTAACTGAATCATTACCCAAGCCAAGTGTGGCAGGATATTTGAAGCATTAATTTATGTGGTATAACATTTCAGAGGAGTAATTCAAGTGCTCTTTCTGGTCCTACAGGTTCAGGGCCAACACTCCTGCCCTGACAGTTGGATGCAAGGGCACCATTACTGCATGGACAGCTCCCGTTGCAGCTTGTAAGTGCAGTAGGGCATCAGTTGGTGAAAGGGAAGCTATTAAATATCACTCCTCCCACCAGTCCAAACCCCCAGGCTAGAGAAAGACCTTCAATCTGCAGAGGAGGAAGGAGTTTGGGGTGAAGAAAAGGGTCTGAAGCTGTACAAGTCATGCCCTCTGCCCACTGCTCTCCCTTCATCACCATCACCACTACTTCCTGAGTCCTGAATAAACTTAAATTAGAGGCACCTAAAGACCTAGGCTCCACTTCTCAGTGAGGATTTTTAAAAGCTCAAGGCTTGCAAAGCATGAAAATTCAGAAGAAATGACAGTGTGGTAGATCCAGGTAAAGAGCTGTCAAAGATAACTCCCTCCTCTCAGGCTCCTTAAGGGGCCTGGGAGGGAACTGAAATTATTCTGGATGATGGTAGGCAGAGAGGGGTTCGCTGAGAGAAAACTGGGTGGGCCCAGGGGATGGGGCTACAGGCAGGCGGGGACAGCACCCCTTCCCTGCCCAAGTCAGAGCGTGGAGGGCGGGACTGAGTCCTCTGGGATTTTCTTGGCCGAGGAACTGTGTGGGAAAGGCCGGGTGCCCACTCCAGGCCCAGGGCAGGCGGGGCAGGGTACAAGAGGAGCAGAAGGCCAGCCTGGGCTGTCAAACAGGGAAGAAGGTGGGCACATCCCAGCACTGCCTCTGGGGCCTTGCATAAGCCCTCAGGGTGTCTAACTGATTTCTGGGAAGTGAGAAAACCCGGGAGGGAGTTTGAAACCTGAATGTGACTGAATTATGTTATGGATCCAAATTAATGGAGAAATTATACCAAGCTGCCTACCATTTAACAGGGTCTCTGAGTACGAAATTAAAGTGTTACAGAAATATTGAACAAACGTGCTTGTGAACCTCCAGCACTAAGGCTGATGCCGTGGGCTTGTGCCCCTGTGATCCTGTCTAGGGCAACAGGGCTCACGCCAGTGCAGCACTGATGGCCAGAAAGCACCCACTACTAGGGAGCGAAGTTAAATAACCAGCTGCAAAAAAGTGCATGCAAGGAATGAACATGTCAGTTATACTCACCTATTAGAAAAATCACGAAGGAAACGAGTGCCAGGCTGACAATCAGCACAATTATCAGCCCCACAAAAAACAGACGGTGGCTTCCGTTCCCTGGGTCAGTGCCAATGACTGGGACTTTCTCCTCAAGAGCTAACATGAAACAAACACAAACCTGCTCAGCATACATGTGTTAGCAGATGGAAGGCGCCCCCTCTGTGAGCGCCCACCCTGCAAAGTGGCCCTGGGAATATCTTTGGGCTGGGTGCTCTCGGCGAATTTTTTCCTCCTAGATTGGTATTCACAGAACAAGCAGGGCCAAGCCATCTCCTTATCCCTGTTTGGAAAGTTCTTGGAAGATCGTGATTTTTCTTTGCAGGGTGCAATAAAGAGGTTAAGTGTTAAGACTGATTAGGGACTCTTTCGCCCTTTTCCCAAAGTGGCCCAGAAGTAATTAAAACCCGGCTGGCTGTGGAACAGCTCCTCGGGGAGGAAGTCTGAAAACTCTGGGAAACTCCTTTTAAGCAAGGAATAATCAGCCATGCCTACATCCCTTGAAAGAGAAAAATGGCCCTGATGTATTTTGCTTTTTAGAACAGTTTTCAGGATGGAAATGCTCTGGAAGAAAGTTCTTTGCAATATTTTACAGTTGAACAGAGAATGCAACCATGCTTCTAAGACAAACAGCTTGGTTCCCCCAAACCATGAGCTGCCTACATTTGCTCATCATTTTGCAAAAGCTGTTTGCCTAACACCCAAATTAAATTGAATAAGAAATACAGAAACTAAGGGAAATGAAGAATTGAATTACTTTTTGGATTCTCTCCTTTGCCTCAGTCCCACACACTGTGCTACTTGATTACTGATACATGGGTGGCTTATGTCCCATACTTCATAAGTATATCCTATGTCTGTCGGCCCCTCCACAGCTTTTGCTTCCTAATCAAAGCAATGGCATAAGCTGGCACCCAACACCTGCTTGTACTGAAACCGAATGCAATAAAATCAGGTGAAAATCTGAACACATAAAAATGAAGAAAAAAGCAAGACTTCAGAAGGGATTTAGGAAAATAATAGATACAATATCAGACAAAGTTTGGGGTACCTATGAAGAAATGGCAACTAAGCAATTAACATCTGTGTTTGAATGTCAGCATTTAAGCTAGGAAAGAGGGGGCTCAGAATGGTCTGAGAGAACATTTATAATGTTTTGCCAAACAAATAAAGTACACTTAGTATTTAGCAGATTTTTGTTTTTGCTTTTATCCTCCTTTTCCTTTTAATTGGGGCAATTTATAATTTGTAGGTAGGAAATAAAGTTGACTTCTAATAATTTTGTAAAAACTGAATATGTGGAACATTTTTCAGCAATCCACTATGAAGTGCAACCTCTCTAGAATAAAGTGGGCACCATCCACGATCTGGCTGTGGTCACCAGAAAGCACAACAGCAGCCAAGGGGGACAGCGCCCCTCTGACAGCCCAGCTCGGCAGCCTCTGCCCCTTTCCAGGGAGAGAAACTCCATAGGGGCTACTCAGAACTTTTAAAGACAAGAGTTCAAATCTTCTTTAGGAGCCGAGAAAGCCCGTAAGCTTGTCCAGTACTCAGAGAACAAAAGCAAAAATTGCCTAATAAGAGAGCATTCCCAGTGCCAAGCTGTTGCTAATGCCACCCCCCACCCCCCACCCCCACCCTGCCACACATCCAGTTGAGCATCTGCTATTTTTAGGTGGCCTAGGAGCCAGGAAGGGCTGTGGCAGTGGAGCTCACACATACGGAACAGATGCTGAGACTCCACAGGGCAGAGGTTTAGTTTGTTTAAGTCATTTATGGAATCCACAACGTAAAGCTTTCTATCTTCAGGAATGCCGGGGAAGCCAGCCTGGGAAGAGCGATTCATTGTCCCTGGAAGAAAACACTGGCGTGAATCAGAAGCCTGGGCTGGGAAGCTTGATTTCACAAAAATCACAGCCCACAGCAAGCACATAAAGAACCACCCACACATTTCTAGCTGAAGGTCTAGGAGAGCTCTCTTTGTCTGGAAGAAAATATTTCCTTTCTGAGACACCTTTGTAACTATTTTCACTTTGCTTGCCAGGAAGCTCAGAGTCAAGTGCACAGCCCAAGCTTAGTGCTTTATAGCCTGCTTCTCCGCATGTGCTTTTTTCCTCTCCCTCAGATTCCCCAATTCTCCCTATGGTTTCCAGGCTTGCTTTTTATTTTATAATTGATTTGTAAATATTTCTCTTTTATTACATTGTTATATTCAGTCAAGATGCTTCAAATGCTTCATCCAAGAAGACTGTATGTAAACATACAGATAGATAAAATTAAGCTGGTCAGACTGTGGCCATAAAGATTCTGAAAAAAGAGAATACTACTGTGAACCATTCTAATTACATGAGGCTTTAATACAAAGCTGTAATTTTCATATACTCCTTCAATACACTACATCAGTTTCTACCTTAAAATGTATCATTTAGCCATTGGATGCTGTGAGTCCTCAAGACAAAAACTTAGCAGCTTAGACACTACCAAGAGGAGCCCTGCAGCAGTGGAAAGTTAGACCTCAGGACCTCTGAGGTATCTTCCCCCTGAGCTCCTTTAGATTGAGGTCACTTATATAATAAAGAATTTCAAAACTGAGGTTTACCTTTAAGGTGATATTCTCTATTAACAGCTGAACTTCAGGAAACACTGAAATGCCTGAGTGGATTAAAAAGGCCCATTTTAAGATGTCTCTGTAGCACACCAAAGAACTTGTGGCCTTTTAATTACATGAAAAGAAGGCTCCAGGAAAATAAATTCCAATTCCTACAAAAGCTTTCTTTCACAGTTACCTGTTTTCATAAAATAAGTTTAATAGTGATATAGGATTTTTTTTTATCTGAAAGGACTTAAAACATGCTTTGGTCTAGCTCCCATCCTTTCTACGAGGAAGTTGAAGCTCAGGTGGTAAATGCCTAAGATGGTGCATTTATTGAGCTGTTGCAGAGCCGGAAGTGGGCCTCTTGTACAGAGTGCCCTGATGTGCTACCATATATAAACACCTGGTAGCTGCCCCTCTACCACGTCCTTGTGTAGGACTCCAGACCAACCAGACCACCGCAGTAAACAGGACCCAATAAGGTTGCGACGTAACTAGGATAAGGGCAGGTCAGAGGATACCTAAGGCTTCCAGTAGCTACAAAACAAGATTTTTAGTGGGAGATTGTATGGCTACAGGTGATTGAAGCACTTTGTCTCATCAACTTCCTTTCCTTTCTGAAGGTTTACCCTGGGAGTTTTCATGCATCCTCCTTTCTCAGCAATGTGTCAGCCTTTCTCTTTGGCGGTTCCCTTTGCTACCTTTCTCCTCCGCACCCTTCCTTAATCATCTTTCAGGACTCAGCTCAACTCTTATGTCCTCAAAGAATCATCCTGTCTTTCCCTTGTGCCCTTGCTGGATGCTGGACATTCTTCTGTCAAAACCTATAGTATTTTAGAACATTTATTTGCTTATATTTTTTACTTCACCAATTGACTGAAACTCCTTAGGGTTGGCACCATCCTGTGCTTCAAATGCTTAGTACCAAGTTTAGAAAGTGACTTAAGTTGGAACACCTAAAATATTTTACTAGGATTTCAACCTCACTATTTCAAAAGAATTTGAGGCAGTTAATTATAAGTATACTGACAGAAATAAAATAGAGTATAAATCTTCATGTGTGTCTATCTGGATTCTAGTGAAGTCAGTAAATTTCGTGCCTGCCTATATGGGGTAGTACACTATCTACTTCCCATTAACATTTTTGAAATTCCCTTTACTATCCAGCTACAGAATGAACAGAAATAGAGTTAGGAGAAACCAAATTCAGGAAAAGGAAAAAACAAATGTGAACACTTTCAGAAGATCTGAAAAAAGTACCAGCCATTTACTAAAAAGCTTGAACTGTACTCAAAATATTAAAACCCACTGGCTTCCCAGTAATACCTAAACTAACTAGTTAAACTTATTACTTATAAAAAATATGCTCCCAAAAGCCTAAGAAAACAGTGAGCTCAAGAAGTCATAGATAAATTACATTTTTTTTCAATCAAAGTTAAAAACTAAAAAGGGTGTTTCAGTTACCCTGAAATTTTAATGAACAGGAACACATAATTCCCTGAGTATTTTAGATAAGATACTACTGAGCATTTTAGATACTGATATTGCTGAATTCCAAATATACTTCAAAGAGCATTTCTAAGGGAATCACTTGAACTGCAATTTTTAAAAAAGTAACAGCATATAGAATGAAGGAGCCATAGTGATGAGTTAAATCTTACCCTTTAAAGATAAAACCAAAAGTACTGGCTGTTGCTTGGTCACAGATTTCTACACTATTCTTCTAGAAATGTTTTATGTTTCATCATCTCTTTATACTTTATTATCTCACATACTAGATTGCATGTGTCTCATCAGATCATTGTTCCAAGCACAGCTTCTATTTCAGCCTTGTGACTGACCCATGATTCATTTTTGGATCTGACTTAATATTCTTGATTCTTAGCTTCCCTTTTAGGAATGTAATTACTATTGCTTAGATCTCAGTGAGGCTTAATCAATGTTTACAAAGTAGAGGACTAGCTAGAAAGCCATCACGACAGAAACTGACTTAGTAGTGTAGCTTATAAATCTCAAAATTATTGGCTTTGCTACTGACTCAGAAGGTGACTCAATGCACCATCAACTCCAAAAGCACTAAGACAACAACTTACAGTGAGCTATGAAGTGCTCTGAAAGAAAATTTCTTTTTTAGGTTATAGCCAGAGTATAAATAGATGCTATTTCAATGTATTTTTTAATTAACTGCAACATTGAAATGGAAAATAACTAGCAGAGAAAACTGAGCTTGGTGTGATTGGTTTACAGCCACCAAGATCACACAAGTGACTGTGCATAAGTGGATACAAGATCACATGGCCCCAGAACCAGGACCCGTGGCTGCTTGGCCCCCAGGACTTCTATCTTTGGTATTTCCATATGAGGGCATGTGGAAACAAGCAGCAGGGCTGGAAAGCCAGACTGTTACTAAGTCTGGCATCACAGTAACCCCGTGCTCCTTTCCAACTCTGGTGTGCAAATTTGCTCATTAAGACTGACCAAAGCAGGATCCTCTTAATGGAACCCTCTCTGATACCTTGAGCTGAAACATGTAAGTAATTTCATTTTCCTCCAGTTTAGATCAATACTAACAGCTACTTCTTTTGGTCATTTAAGTATTAAGACTCCCTACAAATATTCTGACAAATAAGATGACTATGAAAAATTGCTTTGCTCTTTATTTTATTCCCATAGGTGCTTAGTATTGAACCACAGAAATAATTCACACCAGTATTGCCCACCACAAAGTCAGATTTGTTACAATAGGGCTTAATTCAGAGCTAATAGGAAGCTTTATTGAGTGAGTTATGGTCATTTGTTCTTTAACTCCATTTCAGTCAGTGCCTCTTCATATTCAGTAATTTTTAAAATCAAGTCTACACCATTTCTATCAAAAGCAAAAAGCATAGAGCACATATGCAACAAGAAACATCCCGTCCCACCCTGAAGAATCACAATTCAGTCTCAGCAGAGTAACAGCATGCAAGTTACTTACAAAAATTTGAGCTTTGACTGCAACGTTACCAGAAAAAAAAAAATTATTCAGAAGCAACTATAATAAACTTTCTAAAAATTCTGTACTTCTCTCTCTGCCTTCCTTCAGCAGCTGGGTGCTCCTACAAGGCCCACAAGCCCCAGCATGAAACTGTTGGTCTATATTTGGTGTTAATTTAGCCAAGCAGTATTAAGATTCCAAATACTGACTTTTCATAATGTCTATGGTTTTAGTAAATAGATTACTGACACGATGATTTAAAAAGAAAAAGCCACCATGCCTTGATTCAGTTGGTAACAGGTAAAGCTCTGATTGGACTGAAGTTAATGTCCTTATTTGGCGACACGACCGTGCAAGCTGACAGACTGCCAGCCTCCTGCCCTGGTGTGCTCCCATATATAAGCACCCGGTAGCAGCCTGGAGCTGCCCCTCTACCACCTCCTTGTGTAGGACTCCAGACCAACCAGACCACTGCAGTAAACAGGACCCAATAAGGTTGCGACATAACTAGGATAAGAGCAGGTCAGATGATACCTAAGGCTTCCAGTAGCTACAAAATCAAGATTTCTAGTGGGAGATTGTATGGCTACAGACCCACTGTAGGTGATTGAAGCACTTTCTCATCAACTTCCTTTCCTTTCTGAAGGTTTACCCTGGAAGTTTTCATGCATCCTCCTTTCTCAGCAATGTCAGCCTTTCTCTTTGGCGGTTCCCTCACACACACTGAGGAGCTTCTGCCCTCTGGTGTAAAAAAGCAGCTACAGTGGGGAGAGACCTGCAGTCCCGCAAACCCTGATCCCAGAATGCAGAGACGCACTCTCCCAGCAGGATACTGAGCGTTAGGTGGTAAACTGATATGCAGTCCTTTATAAGCTTACCTTCCACTGCCACGACTAGATAGACATTAGTCATCCTTGAAACACTGCACATCAATTAGAAAATGTTTGCTCCAGCAAACTTGCTTCACAGCTCTACTTTGGGGGAAGAAAGACCGTCATCTTCTTAAACTTCATCTATACCTGAGGACCAATTCATGACGGAGATAATGTAACTGTTGACTCAGAAGCACATTATGCATTAAAAAGCCAGGCCAAATTTCTATAAAAATGAAGATATTAGCTGTTATTCTATTTGCCAAGATGCTGTTTTAAAAATCATCTCCCAACTACCAGATCTTAAAACATTTATCCTTTTAAGAAATAATAGAATAGCCTCATTTGGAGCATTTACTATGCGTTTTTCTCTCTACATTACAACCCTGTGAAATATTAATCCCCACTCAGCAATGAGGGAAATGGAGACTAAGCAATTCCTCACAGCAAAGTCTGAATTCAACCATATTTTATACCAGTGAGGTGGGAGTTGTTTTTTTTTTTTTTTGCTGTTTTTGTTTGTGGCCAGTTAAGACTTCTGGAGAACCACTTAAGAGCAAAGCAAGATAACCTACCTTACCTGTCTGAGAGGTGAGCCACATCAACAAGAGGTCAGGCTCAAAGATGGGTATTCTCACATGAACTGTTTGAATTGGGGACATTCTTGAGTATTTCCTGCTTTTTCTTTCAAATATTTTCTCACAGTAGCCAGATGTAAATACCATCAAAGCCTTGAGTCACAGATGCTGATGGATTCAACACTAATGTTTGAGCCTCAAAATAAAGAACTGATTAGGCAGGAACCATTTTAAATTCCTTTAAACTAGCAAGATTAACCAAGAATCAAGGAATGAACTGGTCAATCATACACCATTTTATTCCTTTTGAGAAAACTCATTGTTATATATTGAATCCCCAGTAATCTTTGTCCAACAACTACCGCATCAAGTTCATAAATAAAAAGCACCCATTGATAAATTTCATATGCAGATTAACACTCATTTATCTTTCTCCTAAAACCACAGTAAAAAGGCAGAGTAGCAATAAAAATGACAAAACCCCAAGAATGCAAATAGGAGGAAACAATACTAAGACTTCAACAAAGTTATTGATTATGAGAGAGAGACAGCAGCTGGTATGTGCATTAGCAGCCTCTGGGGATGACCACTGATGAGGGGACTGGCCCTGCAGAGTTCAGACAGGCTCAGGAATTGGAGGCAACAACCAAGTGTTGAACTAAATATAGGCAGGTACCTTCATGTTAATCAAGATTAAAATGCATTAGGAAAATTGGAAAACTGTTACAGAAACCTCCCAGAGAGGAAATGAAATCCAACAGCTCTAGAATCTCATGGAGTTCCAGAACAAAGAAAGCATGTGTGTGTGTGTAAGGAGGAAGAAGGGTTAAGAACTTAAATTTTTTCCAGATTGCCAGAGCCCACAGAGCACAGTATCACAATTGTATTTTAAAACACTAGAACACAGAACTTTTAGAACACTAGTGACAGTCTAAGAAAACAAATCAGAAAATAAAAATTGAGTCAGATACCCCAATGCTCTAACTAGAAGACAGTAGCACAATGCCTTCTAAATTCCTGATTTGAGTTTCTACCTACAATTTTATATACCAAGCCAAACTAGCTTTGACATGTAAAATCTCAGTAACTTGACACCCCCATGCACCCATTCCCAGAAGTTCCTGAAGTGTTCTTCTTTAGCAAAAAAGTAATCTAGTAACAAAGGCAGGGCCCAGAAATCCAATCCAAGGGGAGAGGAAAACAAATCCCAAGATGAAGTCTCAGGGACTGCCATGTACTCCAAGAAAGCAGTCCAGGCTGAAACAAGAAACATGTTAGGGCTTTAACATGGAAAACAGGTTAAAGAATTTGACTTATCTGTTGCTGTTTTGGAAGAATTAGTGATATGAACGTAAAACCAAGATAAAATGTTCTGAGGGAAATGTAACTAAACTATCTAGCTCAGGAATGAACACAGAAATATGATCATTATAATGCAAACAATGGTGCTGACTTAACCGAAAACAGAGAATGAGAAGTGAAAAGGGCAGAAATCTTCACTTAATCAGGTATAAACCATCAGATTAGTCTAAACATAATAATCTGAGACAGCTGTATAAACCTATTACTTAGAAAACAGAAATCAAGGTGTTAAAAATAAGCTAAAGGCTGAGATGCCTCCTGAGGAATGGAAAAAGATGGTGCCAGCTTTTTTCCTTATAAGCCCTGAAGTACTATTCAACTATGTACATGCATAAAACTATAATAAAAATTTAAAAAGTGTATACATATATGAAATTAAAAATTTAAAACATTACTTGCAATCTCTTCTCCATAGTTCTGACCTTCTTAGAATATGGAGGTGACAAAATGCAAATCCAAGTTCTAGATTCCAAGTTGTTTCCCACTGCAGTGTTATCTGAGAGTTGGAACTCACTCCCACAAGCAACGACTCATAGGCCAGCCAATGATTTTCAACTAGTGGCCACACATCAGAGCTTCCAGCCACTGCTGAGGAAGTGGAGAAGACCACTAGTTTGAAAAATATACCTTCCCTGCTTTTGGCACTTAACAGCAGTATGCATGCTTCCCCACCCCACCTCTCATGCCTCTTACCAGTTTTCTGCCCTTATAGCAAAGAATTAAGGCTATGAATTCTAAACTGCAGATAATGCTGGTGCAATGTAATTCTAATATGAAGTTTAATAATAAAATACTGGGGCACTGCTAAAATGCTTACAACTTCATAAAGTGAAAAATTACTTTCTGGGGGCAACCAAGGAGCAACAGCCCTGAGTCAGCAACTGGAATCCCCCTGATAATATTGCCACAGTTTTTCATCTGTTTTCATGTTTCCAAATATACAAAGTTTTGTCTTTTTCCCTATCCAGGTTGGTCATTTGGAACCCTGAACCTCAAAACCATAAATAATATTTCTTCTATTAGAAAAAAGAAACACTTTTAGTGTGAAAAGATCTTTATTTCAAATGAAAAGCACAAGGTCTTACATGCAAATAAAATTAGTGTTACTGCCCTCAGAGGTCAAGGTTAGCAACCCTTGTGGTGTATGCTAATTCATCATCAACTCCCAGTAGCTGGACTGAAGAGCCTTTAAGTGCAGCTTTAAGGTCACATGGTGTAATTCCCTTTGTCGATCCCAGTGACAAAATTTAAATTATAAGGCTCCATTTAAAAAGAAAATAGAGCAGCTTTCCAGAAGAACTCCCCAAAATTGTATCTAAAACTCATTTGTCTAAGATCTTGAGTTAAATGCCTTGCATATATCAGTATTTGTCAGCCACAGCATAAGAAATTTAACCGTAAGTGAAATTCTGCATCTTTTGCCCTCTTCATAGAGAAACTGACCAAGTATTATATACACTTTATTCATGTTTACTGATATTTACAAAGAATATTCAATAATCAGAACTCACCATTCACAATACTGTACATTAAATTATAATATAACCCCAACTACAAAAGGTAGCTCTATGTTAACCCAAGATAATAACTGTCTAGAATTTAAATACATTAGAAATCACACACACAAAAAAGGAAATTAGAAAGTGATCTTCAAGTGTTAAAAATCTAGAAGAATTCTCCAACATCTGCTCTCTTATCTCGACATTTGCTTCGAGCTTTTGTTCGAGCCTTGAAGGCTGCAGAATTATATAAATGCTGAAATTAAGAGAAAGTACTTGTTAGTCACTTAAGGCTTAAGGTATTCTTACAAAGTAAAAAATAATTTTGTAAATCACAAAGTAATGAACTAATTCAAACCTGTAAATATTTTAAACGTTTATAAAAAGAACAAGGGGGGAAATGAACATAAAATGGTTACTGGCTTTTTTTATTAAGAAAAAACAATTAATGTAAAATACCAATGAAACGCCAAAGAATAAAGTTTTAAAACGTGTGAACATTTAATCTGACCAAGGAAAAGGTAAATCATGAAGTTATGTGAGAAATATCCAACCAGGCTATCAATTAAAATAACAACGAAAAAAGTGGTAAGATTTCATTTTAATACCAACTACCTAACAAATTTTTATAATTATAAAACCCAATGCTGTCAAATGTGTGTGTAATAGGTACATACCTCTTTACTCATTACTGGAAACAATAAAAGAATGATAGAATAACTTTGGAAGGTAATTTGGCAATACATATCAAGTCATAATCTGGTTCTGTATTCTCATTTAAGGATTTCTTCCAAGAAATCATTCAAAAGAGAGGTATATGTAAGAATGTTAATGTTTATTCAAAACATTTAAAAATAGCCAACAATTATATGGCTATATAAAAATTAAATATAAATTAAATATAAAGATTCTATAAAAAAGAATTACACATTTCATACCCATTAGAATGGCTATAATTTAAAACAAGAACAAAAACAGGGTAACAAGTGTTGGTAAGAAGGTAGAAACTGAACTCTCCTACACTGCTGTGGGAATGTAAAAATAGCACAGTCACTGTCAAAGACAGTTTGGCAGTTCCTTGTAAAGTTTAACATAAAACCACTACATGACCCAGCAACGCCACTCCTAAAAGAACTGAAAACAAGTACTCTATAAAAACCTGCACACAAAGGTTCATAGCAGCACTATTCACAAGGGCCAAAAAGTGGAAACAAGCCAAATGTTCAACTGATGAATGAATAAACAACATGTGGTGTAGCCACACAATGGAGTATTATTCAGCCAGAACAAGTCCTGAAGAACTCATACGTACTACAAGGCAGATGAGCCTTGGCAACACTATTAACACTTCACAGAATGAAAGGAAACTGAAAAGGAAAATAATTTCTGTGTTCACAGAATTATGGACAAAATGTTTCATTACAATCCCCCATACTCTAAATGCAGTGAAGTTCTATACTTTAAGGACAGTTACTCTGTGTCTGAAGCATCAAGAACTCAAACCTCACAGAGACAGCTGAATACCCACCACCTGGCAGAATCAAAGCTTGGGCTCAGCTTTTTTTTGGTACTTTTTAGTTCTGTTGGAAACAAAAACAACACTTACCCTTTCAAAACGAGAAATCTTCATTGTTTTAAGCGTTGCAGCATCAAGCATGACTGGGGGGCCAAGTTCAAAGACATTGCGAAGGAATTCATTTGACTAAGGTAAAAGACAAAAATAGCAAGATTCAGTATTCCATATCAGCACTTTTTCCACTACATACAGTGAAATTTGATTAAGTTATGTGGAGCTATTTTATATGTATCAACTTAGACCATTTATTTTATTTCTTTCTCATTATAAGGCACAATTGTTTTGTTTTTCAGTGCCTTGAATCCAAGAAGTGGCGAACTATGTGCTTTGGTACAGATTTGAGTTGTGCTCCACCAGACAGCCACAATACAAAAACAGAAGTTTCATGTTTGTTCAATTTTCCTTTCAAAAATAAAGATATTGCTTTGTATCATGCTGAAAGCATTCTGCACATTCAACTAACCTCAAAAGCCAATTAAGTGAGCTATATTCTAAACTGCTCCCTAACTTAAAAGTAAACACGTAGAAAGGATGTCACCCACTCACCTGTAAGTGGTACTGCATCCCTGATCCAAGAACCTCCTTAAAGGTGTCATAGGTATGTTTTTTGACCCAGCAGTCAATATACATACGTTCAGGACCAAATTTAACAGTTTCCGTTGGAAAATCCCGTTCCTAGCCAAGAGAAGAATCAAAATTGTAAGAGGAACTAAAATGTCCTAAAGAGAGCCTACATAGACATAATTTCCAAGTAGATATCTACATGTCGAGAGAAGTGAGCAATATGGTTTAATATTATAACCATATTATACCTCCATCCCTGCTACGTAAACAGTCTAGAAAGTACTATGTTATATATATGGATATAGGATTTGTCTAGCTGTGACTAACTTGAAGGCACAACTAAGTTTGGATAATAATGGCAAAACCATGTTGTGCATGTTTTAAAATTTCAGAAGCACTCAACAAAGAAAAAAATCAGATATGGGTACTGGTCTAGGATTAGGGGGTGGAGTGGGGAGGAGGTTACAGGACAGGTCTGAAACACAAGATGCCTCCACAAGCCAGTGTGGAATTGAGGAGAAGCAGGATCTAGGAAAGGAGGTGAAGATAAATGGGGTTAAAAGAGCAACCAGCAAAGAGAGGACCAGCAACTACAGTGCTCCACAGGCCTTTGAGATAAGGTTTATTAAGAAAATGAGAGTTAGCTCTGAGATCAAGATTTCCAAGATGAAGTTTTGCAAGATCATTTCTAAAGAATAAGCATGGGTGGGTGATCCAAGTGAAATGGAAAAAAGCTCACTGAAACAAACACAGGATAGGGATTTCCACCCAGACAGAGAAGTCACCCAGAATGGTGGCAGAACTGGGGATGAAAAACACTGGCTGCTCCATTCCTTAATGAATTATGAACACGGAAGACGATCAGAAAGGGAGAAGCTGACCCACTGTTAGGGGAGAAAGGAGATGGAAACTGATGGGGCAAGAGCACTCCACGACTTCCTAACATTTACCCAGCACCCTTCTCTCTCAGCAGACACAGTATGTATAGTATATAATGCAGTAGTAAAGAACGTCAGCCCTAGACTTTCACGGTGTGTTACTCACTGCCTTGTGACCTTGGCAAGTAATTTAACCTCTTTGGACCTGGTTCCTTGCTTGTCAAATGAGGCTGACTCCATCTATACCACACAGTGTTATTAAGGTGTTAAAACAGAACATGTCTGTGAAGCACATACAATGCCTGGTTTGTTACAACAGCTCAAAGAAAAAAGGAGAGGATTCTATTACTTCAGCCTCATGTCCGAAAATATTGACACCAGGGAAGAACTCCCTATAAGCTTATCTACATCTTTACCTACTCCTGTCTCCTGAATCAGACACAGCCTTGCATTGAGGAGTGTCTGACAGTACTCTTTAAACCATATCATACTCCCAGTTTTTCAGTTGTATTTTCAAATGCTTTCTTCTCCACTGGTTCCTTCTCCCATAAACTATCTCTAGCATCTAAAACAAAACAAAGTAATAAGCCCTCCTACAATCCAGGAGATCAACTCTCTTCCATTCCCATTACAGAAATGTTCCTCAAAAGAACTTCTCTTCCCATTCACTTTTCAATTCACTTCAGTCTGGCTTTTCTCCATTCAACTGAAGCTGCTTTTACAAAGGTCACCATGACCTACTAATTGATGAATCTAATTGGTACTGTTCACTCTTACACGACCTTTTCTGCATTTGGCCTTGTTAAAAGACAGCACAGTACAGTGGGTTCAAATCCCAGCTTTGCTACTTACTGCTCTTCAACTATTCCATTGGTATCCACTGTTCCTTAAAAAGTAATTCTGTTGCTTAATTCTATAAGGGAATTGAATAAGAAAATCGTATGTCAGAGGACCTAATATATTAATGCTTGCTGATTTGAGGACTGCATGAGCTTCAAGAAGGATTTCTGGATGAAAAGGCACAGTGTGGCAGCGACCACCACACCTAATAAAATGGGGAATTCTCTTCTGGGGCACTTCAACAACTTTCATTTAGAAGATCTATCAAGGAAGCAGGGTCCTTTAGAGAAAGCTGGGTGCCAATGAAAGAAAATCAACAGAAACACTTCACAAGGCTCTAGGAATAGGCCCTTCCTTGGCAGGTGCAGAGGCAGAGCTGGAGGGACAGGCAGCCCAGTCAACGGGCAGGGGAGGGACTGAAATCTGAGATGAGGAATAGAGGTGGTAAAGCCTGGGAAGGAGGTCACTTAAGGACAGAACTATGATGCAAACAGAGGGCTCCTTCCCTTTTTGCATACCGGCGGGGAGGGCAGGGGGAGAGGTGCACAAGAGGCCTGGTAAGGCTGCTGAGCACTGCAATTTCACTGGTGTCTTTCTCAGGAGATTCGGGGCTGCAAGTTGCAGCTGACTGAGGGACTGTTCAGGCCCTGCTGACCCTTAAAATCTATTACCCACAGAAGACACATTAAGAAGGAAAATCTGAAATCAGGTCTAACCCAGAAAATCTAGGACACATCATTTATCTTATCTTTGGAGGCCACAGTATCCAAGTAAAGGAATGGTTTCTAGTTAATCAAAACAATGGTTTGCTTAATTTGGGGATCCTTATACTCTAAATTATATGACTAATCAGATCAATTCTTAATACGGATGTCTGCTCAAGTCTGGGGGTTTTGTTTTGATTTTCACATTATAAAATTCAGAGTAAATATCAAGTATTACTACAATTCAGTTATAGTCAGCATTCACCAGAAAGTTTAGAACCCAAGAAATCTACACTACTTTATACCTTCACTTTTTTATGGAAGATTACAGTGAAGAAAGTAGTTCTTTAGCAGGCTACATATGGGAACCAGAAACACTTCAAAACTGGATCTGACTGGGGCTTCAGTATCTCTATTTCTTTAAATTCCCATTCTAAATTTTCATATATACATCAGGTTGCATGACTCTCTGGTGTTCATTTATTCTAAAAAGAACTGCCATATTAGACAGCAATAACCTGATAAATTACCCTTCATATCCAGGAAATATTTATCTGGCCAACAAAAAGGAAAAGTTTTAAAAGATTTTGGTATTCTCCACAGCAAGACTGTCCTTATTAATAGGTTCTACAGTTCATTTTAATCAACATTCTATTCTAATCACTGAAAGCTTCTAAATCAATTTTTTTGCCAGGTAGACTGAAACAGGTTAAGATCCAGAGAAGGGACTCAAGCATCAGATGATCAGAATGTGCTCTGGTTGAAGGCTGGGGTTTGTTATTTCAGGTTTTAGCACCTAGCCTTCATAGAAGGATCACAAAGGTCTTTCTTTTCTTAAAAGTACTGAGGGGTAGGCAATATACTATTCACAAAACACACTGTACTAAGTATGTATGTTGTAAGTACCACTGCCTATATCAAGTACCCCAAAGTGAAATACATTTTTATCATTATCAGTGTTATTTTTTTAAACCTAAAAACGTACCTTTATGTATCAGAATTAAATTTTCATTTGTTTAAAAGAAGTCTTCATTTATGTTATTAAAAACCTGGCTGTCTCAAAATGAGATTATTTTAATCAAAGATGAAGTTTAACTAACAAAATGACTAAACTGTCAAGTTTAGCCTGAGATCATGTAATTTCAATATGAGTAGCCAGTATAGTGTTAAGCCTACCTCCATGGCCCTCAGGATGTCTCTGAACACTGACCGCTGCTTTCTCTTGTCCACTTTGGCACGGTGTTTATTTCCATCTGTAGCCAAAGCCCTAAGCATCTGAGTCAAAGACTCCATGTCTTCATAAAAGAAGTCCTGTAAAAGGAAAAGCAGTTTCATTTAGTCTGTTACTGGTTTTTTCCCCCCAGCCTCTTCCGGTGCTAACAAAGAACAGCCCACCTTCAACGCCATCCAGCATTGCTACAGAGCCATATAAACCTTCAAGCTATTCAGGCATCTTGGCAAACGCACAAAGGAACACATTTATGCTGTCATGCAAAGATGTGACTCCCAACTGCTGGCAAGATGTGTTACCACCAAATGATTAACACCCCCTTCCCAAGGATACCCAGATGCAGTCAACAAATACTTATGTGCTCCAACTGCATACAAGACATTCTTGGGATTTCAAGACGTTCAGTGAGTCAGATACACACGTACCAATATAGCTTCTATCCTTTGGCACTCCAGGCCCCAAAGCACACATTCCCAGAATTCCAAATATGCTTATTCCAGAGTGCAACCTATCAGTAATGCTTAAATCACCTCATGTCTAATGTATTGGCTGTATTTCAAACAAGCAATGAAGTATTTACATCAGACACTCAAGTAAGACGGTATTTTAACCCTTTTGGAGGAAAGCCATAAAATGCATTATTTGCTATTATCTTTGAATTGACTATGGGCTTCCTTGCTACAGTTTAAGAGGCTATACTTTTAAAAGGTTGCTTTATTTTGGGTGTTTTTATTTCCACTACATTTTACAACATTAAAAATTAAAGATGATTAAATTATTTTGCTGACCAAAAGCAAAGCAGACACTTATAGAAGTCAGCAGGTGAGCAAACTCCAGTTCTAGTTACTAATGCCTATTCAACATTTTTTTTGCATTAGCACTGGCAGTCATTTAACTCTTCTATTAAATTAAACAGTTCTTATTCTAGCATCCTTCAAATTGTATATATAATTTTCTAATCTCAGTAAGTCCAACTATGATTATTTTTAATGTCTAAAATGAAAAAGATTATTACACTGGTAGAAAATAAGGTTGCAATTAACAGATATTCTAACTTTCAAGTACATAAATATTTTACTGTCAAATATTTTAGAGATTTTATATTATTAACCGTTTTAACAAATGTTTTCTTCAAATGTTATAATTCAACCTCCTATGTCTGAGTTAGTTGGAGACAAAACCCATTAAGATTTGCATGGAGAAAAGCAATTATTGAAGTTGGTGAGGTTTAATTAAAAACAGATCAAGGTCATGTGGATCTCTCTATTTCAATAAATTTGACTATCTTAACAAGATGAGGACAGTTTTACTTGTAGAAACTAGTATAAATTCAGGAACTAGCCATTTCCTACTCATTTTATTGGCTACTCTTTCATACTATTCTTAAAAAAAATGTGTGAAACATTTAAAAATACATTTTGAAGGAAAAAAACAAAATTAAGCAAACTCCATGCACTACTTTAATTAGTTCTAAGAACTGGGAAGTACCATCAGGGTTCCTGACAATCCTCCAAGGGGACACTGGTTATCTGTAACACATTTCTGGATGTCACCTCTGGGGAAGGAGCAGCTGCTACTGGCACCTACTGAGCAGAGGCTAGGGATTCTGCTTAACAGCTTACAATGTGCAAGACCCCCCCCCCCCCATAACACAAAGTTAACCAGCCCAACACACCCACAGTGCTGAGGCTGAGGAACTCTGCGGGACGTGATCCCTGCAACTAATAAAACTCAACAGTCTACAGTCTGAATCAATGAGTTTAACTAACTTGGAAAAATAAACGTTAAACATTACAGGGAAATGTCACCACAAAGTGCATGGGCATTAGAAAAAAAGAAAATGTAAAATAACAACAAAAATAGTCCATGAGCAGCATCCAAAAGCTAATTTATTGGAGTTTAGGTAGCTATATAGTAAAACTGTACAGTAAGGGACAAATGAAAATGGGCTCCTGGAAGGTACAAATAAACACTAACTCCTATCCATCATAAGAAAATGGCATAATAATTTTCACACAACAGGGCATGTGGCAGGGGATATGTGCATCTGTCTGTCTCTTTCCTGTGGCACTCCCTTCCCATCAGGTCAGGTCAGGGACAAAAAGGCAGAACTGGGGAAGGTCTGACCACACTAAGTTTTGGTGTATTTGCCTGAGCCAGCACATCATGTTACACCCAAGATCTGTAGTTCTGTCCACTTAGTCTTTGTCTTATTTACTATAAAATATCCTAGAGAGCTCTTGAAAGGCCACTACTAGACTACTGCCATAGAGGGGAGGCAACACTTAATTCACCTATGTATTCAGCAACACCTGGTTTAATTAATTTTTTAAACATCCTGTAACTGCCCTCACCACCACACATTCATTCCTTTCAAAAAGCTTATCTACTTAACAAACACAGCAAACAAAACACTAGGAAGGTTCTGCTTTGTAACCCAGTTCATGTTTGTCCTTGGACCAGGACTCAGGTCAAATTAAACGTTTTGGATGAGTCCTCCTGGCTATCTCATATGATTTATTAAGCCAGAGAACATAAGATATGTGGGTGATAATACACTCATGTTTACACAAATTTAAACAAGTTCAAGTATAAATTAAACTGCATTTCAAAGTCAAAAGAAATGACCATTTCTAGCCAACAGAACAAAAATTAAAAACTAGGACATCTGGTTTCTGTGCCTTAAGCTTCAGGAGTCATTAATTAGATCAATAAAATTAAATTGACTGCTAAACTTGAGTCCAGTTTCTCACATAAGGAGAATCACTGCTAATGACAGCACTGACAACTTACTTTCCATTCTTACCTGATATCCTTCCTCAAGAGGCAGGAGTGCCTACAGAAAGACATTTCCTAGACATAAACTCTAAGAGCTTAACCATTTGTTAAATACAGAGAAGAGAGTACTGGGGGCCGACGTAACCCAGAACGTGTATTGATCCTATTTATAATTATTCACCAGTAAGTAACTTAAATTTGAGAAAAATTATGGAAACTTTCTGGAAATAATCTTACTCCTTAAATTAAAAAGCACTAATAAGTAACCCAATGTTCACAATGGAAGTCACAAAACAGGGCTACTAAATGTCTCTGTTAGGGAGACAAAGGGTTTCCTGGAACTCAGCACTTTTGGGGCTAAACCTGAAACAGGACCAGGCAAACCAGGAGAGCCAAACTGTGGCAACATCCATGAACAGAAAGTGGGTGGGAAACTGCAAGGCACATATCCCAGCTAAAGGGCCATGTCTGTTTCCATCTTCGGCTTAGAGAAGTTAAACTAACAGCAACTAAACTCATCTAATCGCAAACCTACGACAGCTTAATATTTCAACCATTTGTCTGATGTTTATTACAAAGCATCCATGCCTGAATTACCTGAATCCATGGTCTGAGAAATCCAAGCAAATCTGCACAAATTATACTATAGACACAGCTCTCTCCATGAGTAGTAGCAGAGCATCCTAAGCTTTAGTTCTACAGAGAGCAACAATTAAGCATAATGAACTATACTCAAATGCTGCTCTACCAACCCCTATTGGTTTATGCTTTTAAAAGTATTTTCTCAGTACTGCCAGGGAGGTGGCAATCAATCACCTGGTTCTTAAGCTGGTCACATTCCCAAGTTATCATCCAATTCTTAATGTGAAGGCGGTGATACAATAATAGTCCTCATGGCACAGTCTTTTTCCTCTACTCATCAGATACTTACACTCTCCATTCCTCTGGCGAGTTCAAATAGGAGCGCCAAAGATTCACCAGCAGCTATTCTCATGTTTACATCATCAGAAGAAAGGAGGCTTGGAAGTTTATGGAAATGCCTAAAAAAGAAGTCAGTTACTACTATGTGAACATGACCATTATGTCAATAAATGTTTTTATAAAATATGAAACTAAAAAATACATACATCTCAAGCTTTTTCTTCACTTCACTGATTGGGCATATGGTCAGTAATAATGTCCATGCAAGAAGGGAGTGGATATGAAGCACCGTATTAGTGGTGCTGCAAATAACATTAGTGTCTTTCTCTTTGAGATAGGACTTGGTGAAGATATTTTCCAAATATTCCAGAGTTGAAAACAGCTCCTAATGCATAAGATTATGAAATAAGATAGCCATCTTAAATTAAAAGTGTGCAAATAACTGGAGTCAAAGGTTTTCTACTTACTGTAATGTCATCTGTGGCAATAAAACAGCAAACACCAAAGCAAGTTGCACACTAAAAAAAAAAGACATTAATGTTTGTAATTTTCTTATTAATACCACATCTCCCTGCTTTTATAATTCAGTGTGAAAATGTTTTCAACTACCTGACTACCCTGGTCCCAAGTACAGTATAAAAAGAGGGACAAAGAATATCAGAGTTACAGGAAGTGAGTTTCAGCACAAGCTCTGCTTCCAAACTCAGAGTACAACTTTAGAGAAATAATTCCATTTCTCGAGTCATCCTTCATTAATCTAGCAGATCAATTTTTTTTCTTGGTATTTTGTTAAATATTTATTATATACTATTATAGTAATAAAAAATACAACGGGCCTTTTTTAAAATTAAGTTATCATTGATATACAAGCTTATGAAGATTTTGCATGAGCAACATTGCTGTTTCAACATTCACCCATATTATCAAGTATACCCCCTTTACCCCACTGCAGTCACTGTCCATCAGCATAGTAAGATGCTATAGAGTCTCTACTTGTCTTCTCTGTGCTATACTGCCTTCCCGTGACCCCTACACCATGTGTGCCAATCATAATGCCCCTTAATCCTCTTCCCCCTAGACATAAACTCTCACCCCTCCCCACCCGCCCTCCCCAACCCCTTCCCTTTGGTAACCACCACTAGTCCCTTCTTTGCGTCTGTGAGTGTGCTACTGTTTTGTTCCTTCAGTTTTGTTGTTACACTCCACAAATGAGTGAAATCATTTGGTACGTGTCTTTCTTCGCCTGGCTTATTTCACTGAGCGTTAATCCCTCTGGCTCCATCCATGTTGTTGCAAGCAGTAGGATTTGTTTTCTTTTTATGGCTGAATAATATTCCACTGTGTTTATGTACCATATCATCTTCTTTACCCATTCATCTACTGATGGACACTTAGGTTGCTTCCATATCTTGGCTATTATAAATAGTGCTGTGATAAACATAGGGGTTCTAACAGATCATTTTAAACTTCAATGCAAAGACAGGAAGTCTGGACATTTGAGATAAAGAAATCTGCTCTGTTAAAAATCTTTAAATACATTGTTTGTTGTAGGTTTGTAAGCTTTTAAAACTATTTGTATTCATTTGTTTTTATGTAGACTTTACTCCAAAAACTTTAAAAGGAATCAGCTTCCAAAAAATAAGCACTTAGGAGCAGAAATTTCCTAAAATTTAAGTAACTGTTCTGAAACTTCCAACCTAAAGGAAGATCTCTTTAACTCAGATTTCATTTTTTTGGATTATGTTGAAAAGAGGTCAGGAATCTTTTAATTACCTTTTGTTGGGGAGAAAAAAGGGTTAAACAAGTGAGTATACTACAAGGTTACCAAGGTAAAGCTTACCTAACAGAATGGACACAAAATATTTATATACAAACTCTGTGCAACATAAACAGGAGTCAACAATTCTCAGAATATTGCTTTAGCAAAACTAGTCACATAAAAACAGAATTTGTAATTTGTGAGATTTTATTATTCTCTATTTCCCTTTACTCCACGTATTCACTAAAATTCCCTCATGTTATTTCAAGTACCATTAATACTGTAAGTCTTTAAAGTCACCATTCAGGTGTCCAGATTTCAGCTAGTTTGTTTCAAGAACTATAAGGACACTTGTGATATTAATCTCTTAATGTTAGTATTTTATTTTTATTATATTCTTCTGGCAAAAATTGGCCATTGTTAAAATTAAGAGTCGCCTAGGCATTATTCTCAATCAAGGAAAATTTCCATCTGCAATTCCTTCTCCTAAGCAAGCAGCTGAGGCAAGGCCACATCTATTCTACTGATGACCCTCAGAGAAAACTATGACTATCTACCTTTAACACAGATTCCTGCTGCTAATTAGAGCTGCTAAGTGTAAAAAAGAATTCACAGCAGGAATTACAAGTATGAAAAAGAAATGGCCAAAGCAAATTTACATGCAACCAAAATTAAGTTGTCACTAAAAAGTATCTACCCAACAGTGTTTTCTGTCAAACATATCAAAAGTATCTCCATAGTCCTGCATGATTTAAAAGCTGCATGAAACTACTCCAAAAGGGGAGACAGAAAGTTAAATAACAAAAACTTAATTAAATATTTTAGGATTACTAACTGCCGGCCAGCAGAGAGGCCAGGATATCACCCTCCTATTTCTTTGCCTCTAGGGAAGCAGCTTAACTATTCCCAGCTCAGAAGAGTTAGTAAACCAAGGGAACTGGCCACTGAAGTGAGATGCCTGAGCTCCTGTTCGCTTTTTTCTCCACTGAGCTAGGGACCCTGCTGACTTACACTGGGCAGTTATATGAGCAAAAAGTAAACTTTGTTTGAGCCACTAAGACTTCAGGGGTTATCTGACTCAAAGATTAATGTCATTTACTTTAAGTAATACTAAAAAAAAGAAAGCTAATTTGAAAAATCAATATTAAAAGTATTAAAAAGAGTGAAACCCCAAAACTAGATGAGTATTTCCACAAGTCAGTTTCCTCCATCAACCCAAATCTACCAAGGAAATATGGCATTCAGCTTTTTCAAAAGGACTTGTAGGCCATGGCTGCCGAAAACTCTTAAAAAACACCCCACTGCATTTCTTAGAATAAAAAATGACCACCCAATAAACATTGTCTAGACCACTTCTATGAAAATTATTCTATGATCATCCTAAAGAACTCAACACAGTATTCCATATCAGTGTTATCTCCCACTTGAAAGATGTAGAAATTTGCTCTATATGGGATGCATTATGGCATCTCAGAAAATTTAAGAGAACAGTTAATTGTCCTGTTAACTCTGTTCACTAAAACTGAGACAAATGAAACTATAATGTTAATATAAACTATTTTTTTACTAGCAGATCAATTTTTTTTCTTGGTATTTTGTTAAATATTTATTATATACTATTATAGTAATAAAAAATACAACGGGCCTTTTTTAAAATTAAGTTATCATTGATATACAAGCTTATGAAGATTTTGCATGAGCAACATTGCTGTTTCAACATTCACCCATATTATCAAGTATACCCCCTTTACCCCACTGCAGTCACTGTCCATCAGCATAGTAAGATGCTATAGAGCCTCTACTTGTCTTCTCTGTGCTATACTGCCTTCCCGTGACCCCTACACCATGTGTGCCAATCATAATGCCCCTTAATCCTCTTCCCCCTAGACATAAACTCTCACCCCTCCCCACCCGCCCTCCCCAACCCCTTCCCTTTGGTAACCACCACTAGTCCCTTCTTTGCGTCTGTGAGTGTGCTACTGTTTTGTTCCTTCAGTTTTGTTGTTACACTCCACAAATGAGTGAAATCATTTGGTACGTGTCTTTCTTCGCCTGGCTTATTTCACTGAGCGTTAATCCCTCTGGCTCCATCCATGTTGTTGCAAGCAGTAGGATTTGTTTTCTTTTTATGGCTGAATAATATTCCACTGTGTTTATGTACCATATCATCTTCTTTACCCATTCATCTACTGATGGACACTTAGGTTGCTTCCATATCTTGGCTATTATAAATAGTGCTGTGATAAACATAGGGGTTCTAACAGATCATTTTAAACTTCAATGCAAAGACAGGAAGTCTGAACATTTGAGATAAAGAAATCTGCTCTGTTAAAAATCTTTAAATACATTGTTTGTTGTAGGTTTGTAAGCTTTTAAAACTATTTGTATTCATTTGTTTTTATGTAGACTTTACTCCAAAAACTTTAAAAGGAATCAGCTTCCAAAAAATAAGCACTTAGGAGCAGAAATTTCCTAAAATTTAAGTAACTGTTCTGAAACTTCCAACCTAAAGGAAGATCTCTTTAACTCAGATTTCATTTTTTTGGATTATGTTGAAAAGAGGTCAGGAATCTTTTAATTACCTTTTGTTGGGGAGAAAAAAGGGTTAAACAAGTGAGTATACTACAAGGTTACCAAGGTAAAGCTTACCTAACAGAATGGACACAAAATATTTATATACAAACTCTGTGCAACATAAACAGGAGTCAACAATTCTCAGAATATTGCTTTAGCAAAACTAGTCACATAAAAACAGAATTTGTAATTTGTGAGATTTTATTATTCTCTATTTCCCTTTACTCCACGTATTCACTAAAATTCCCTCATGTTATTTCAAGTACCATTAATACTGTAAGTCTTTAAAGTCACCATTCAGGTGTCCAGATTTCAGCTAGTTTGTTTCAAGAACTATAAGGACACTTGTGATATTAATCTCTTAATGTTAGTATTTTATTTTTATTATATTCTTCTGGCAAAAATTGGCCATTGTTAAAATTAAGAGTCGCCTAGGCATTATTCTCAATCAAGGAAAATTTCCATCTGCAATTCCTTCTCCTAAGCAAGCAGCTGAGGCAAGGCCACATCTATTCTACTGATGACCCTCAGAGAAAACTATGACTATCTACCTTTAACACAGATTCCTGCTGCTAATTAGAGCTGCTAAGTGTAAAAAAGAATTCACAGCAGGAATTACAAGTATGAAAAAGAAATGGCCAAAGCAAATTTACATGCAACCAAAATTAAGTTGTCACTAAAAAGTATCTACCCAACAGTGTTTTCTGTCAAACATATCAAAAGTATCTCCATAGTCCTGCATGATTTAAAAGCTGCATGAAACTACTCCAAAAGGGGAGACAGAAAGTTAAATAACAAAAACTTAATTAAATATTTTAGGATTACTAACTGCCGGCCAGCAGAGAGGCCAGGATATCACCCTCCTATTTCTTTGCCTCTAGGGAAGCAGCTTAACTATTCCCAGCTCCGAAGAGTTAGTAAACCAAGGGAACTGGCCACTGAAGTGAGATGCCTGAGCTCCTGTTCGCTTTTTTCTCCACTGAGCTAGGGACCCTGCTGACTTACACTGGGCAGTTATATGAGCAAAAAGTAAACTTTGTTTGAGCCACTAAGACTTCAGGGGTTATCTGACTCAAAGATTAATGTCATTTACTTTAAGTAATACTAAAAAAAATAAAGCTAATTTGAAAAATCAATATTAAAAGTATTAAAAAGAGTGAAACCCCAAAACTAGATGAGTATTTCCACAAGTCAGTTTCCTCCATCAACCCAAATCTACCAAGGAAATATGGCATTCAGCTTTTTCAAAAGGACTTGTAGGCCATGGCTGCCGAAAACTCTTAAAAAACACCCCACTGCATTTCTTAGAATAAAAAATGACCACCCAATAAACATTGTCTAGACCACTTCTATGAAAATTATTCTATGATCATCCTAAAGAACTCAACACAGTATTCCATATCAGTGTTATCTCCCACTTCAAAGATGTAGAAATTTGCTCTATATGGGATGCATTATGGCATCTCAGAAAATTTAAGAGAACAGTTAATTGTCCTGTTAACTCTGTTCACTAAAACTGAGACAAATGAAACTATAATGTTAATATAAACTATTTTTTTAAATGCTGTTTTCCAAGATCACCACAATGTCTGGTGTCACGCCTAGATAAGATCTAAACATTTTTAAATCTTAATACTTACAGTTTGTCTAGCCTGGACACTAGCTGTTCCATCACAAATTATCTTCTTTAGGACTGGTCCGAGAGTTTTGAAAACCTCTTCACTTTCAATGCCAGGCCCCAGCTGAACACAGAGCACAGATGCCAATGCCGCAGCTGCTCGCTGCTCATCACTCTTACCTACAAAAGCCCAGGTGCCACTTCTTAGTAAGACAGCAACTGCCCCAATTTGTTCCACTTCAAAACTGCATCTAGCATTTATGAAACCCATAACACACTCTAGGCTTTGCCATGAGAAGAATGCCTAGTGAGGTGTAAGAGCTCCAACTCTGAAAAAAGATCTTACTCAAATTCTAGACCCACCACTTATTAGCCAGAACACCTTCAATTCCTGTTCTGAGAACAGATTTCCTCCTCAGTGAGATGGAGAGAAACACATTGCATAAGGGAGTACTGTAATGGCTCAACAAAGCAATTGTTTGAAGATGATTTGGCCTTTCAGATCCTTCAGGTACTGGCAGAAGAGTACTCAAGTAGCCCTTAAATTAATCTCTCACGCATTTCGGATACACATAGTCCACAAGGTAAACTAATACCTTCAAGATTTCTCCTCCCCACATTTTGTTTTTTTAAATAAGTCTTTAAAACCAAAACATCCATGTAAAGGTAAATACTAAGTTAATACTTTTGAGAACTGTAGAAACCAAAAGGTTTCTGCAAGTTTTGATCTCAAATTATTACCTGACAAACTAAAACTCTGTAAAATATTCAGTTGGGATGAAATGTTTAATCCCATCTGACTACCACTACTGGAGACAGTTTCAATGTAAACACTGCTAACAAAGCCACAGTAAAAACTCAAAAAAGGTGGCTCTGCTATCAACTGTACCACTAGCAAGTTATATAACTTTAGACCAGTCTCATGTTTCCTAGGCCTTTCTTTATTCTGTATAATGAGAGGCGGATTGGATGAAAGGTTTAGAAACACCCATTCCTGACAAAAGCTTTCACCTGAGGCAAAATGAGAAAAACAAGGACATAAAACTAAGTTAATTCAATTTAAAGAAGCATCTGTGCTTCCTATATTTTTGGTGCTAGAAAATATTTTTGTTAATAGAGATAATGATAGTATAAGATTATTATTTTCATTATGTTCTGCTTGGCAAAGTTAAGCCGGCAACCCCAAATCTTTTAAATTCAGTGGTTCCTAAAACTGCAGTCTGGTAATACTAGACTTAATCCTTAAGGTCTCTCTTTATTCTCAAAAGCTGTATGATTATAACAATATGAATTCCAGAGCCTCTATTACAAAATTCTGGAATTCATATATTCCAAGGGACATCCTGATAATGATGTCATTGACAGATATGACTGACATTTTAAATAAGCGCAAGGGAAAATGAGCTGGATGATTATGATACCTTTTCAATTTTAGAAAAATAAAGTAGGATGGCTTTCTTAATAATACTTTTTGCTGACATCTGACACAAGCTTTCAAACCTTTCTTAAGTACATAAGAATGGCAATCACCTCCTCAGATACAATAAAGGATGACAATCCACCCTGATCCTTCCTAATTTCAAGCTACTTACTACAAAATATAACAAAATGTTTTGTTTTATAAACAAAAACAAAGCTAACAAGTCTCATGTTGAGTTTTAACAAGCATGGTGTATTCCTTGACAATTATTAAGTTATGAGAGTGACCCAGTCTTCTAATGCTGTAAAGAAACATTATTGCAAAGGCAGCAAATTCCTGTATAGATCGGGGCCTGTGACTCAAAAATAAGGACATTACCTTTTTTCAGGCAGCGTTCAATGCTATCAGTTAAAGTCATTCTTCTTTCCAGAATAAATTCATAAAGCATTTTTGAAACCAGTGCATTTTTAATACCTTCAAGAGCTGCCTGCCTTGTCTTCGCACTATTTAAAACAAAATTAAGAGAAAAAAGACCCAGATGGAGTATCATCAATAACTTGTAAAAACCTAGCTTTTCCCTCTAAATTTTTTCTATTTACAGTTTTTTAAAATCTGTCATCAAGCTCAATTTTTCAAAAATTAAATTTTCATCTACAACTCACCTTATTACACAAAAGATTTTAGACTGGCTTTGTATCAGAGCATTTTTGTTAGTTTGTAATCACAAGTTTAAATGACTAAGAAATATAGTTTCAAAGGAAAAAACATTCTGTATGATATGTTTAAGTAAACTCACATTTCTTTTTTAACACTACACAAGTCTAGAGTTCACATTTGCATCTTCTGAGCTTTTAAAAAAAATTCTATTGGTTTTATGTCCATTTTGGAGCTACTGTGAAGTAAGGAGGTAATTTAGCTTGATATTTCCCATGTCTGCAACAAAATTCGTGGACAAGAGGCTTCAAGTTTAGTTGTTCTTTCTAGTTGAAGATTAAATTCAACACATCCATTCCAATTACAATGAAATACAGTTATAGACTATTACACTAAAATAATGACAAATCCCAGTCAATCTAAACTCTAGTGGCATGTTCCTAGCCACATTAAAAGTCCAAAGGAACAACAAAACATCCAAAGTAAACAATTCAAACTTTAGGGAAACATACTGTTAAGTCAGAGTAGTACACATATAACATATACCTGTACATAGTATTTCCTACCTCTTATCCATGGTCAGGTCAATGAATCCCTTCAACTTGTACTCTATGTCTTCCTGAGTTCCTTCTTCATCAAGGACTTCTGGTCCTAAGGAATAACATAAATCAACCACTGCAATTTAGAAAAAAAGCAGAAAGGGAACAGCAATACCTTAGCTACAGTATATTTTAGCTATAACAATTCCTTCACCTAAGACATCCTTTTATCTAAAGTTGCAGGTTTAAATTTAAAATTCATACCATCTTCAGCAAAACTGGAAGGATCACTGTAGCCACTGCAATGGCTCATTGTTTCAATCGATGCATCCTCATCACTAAAGGGCTGAACATTTCGATGCTGGCCACCTATTAGGTAAAGTGGAAGTAGATGATTTCATTGCCATATGTGCAAATATTTAACGTGGATATTTATTTACTTAGGAGAAATCCAGTAACAAAAACCGAAATATATTTAAGAAAAGGGATGATCAAATTACAAGAGTATACTTAAATATTCCCAAGTAAGTCAATTCACCTAAAAACTATTTCAGAGCATAAACTACTTATGATATACACCTGCTTCAGAAATATACTTAATACTGGTATTATGGATGAAAAACCTACTTCTAAACTGTAACTTCAAATATGAAGACAATAAAAATATCCAGAAATACAGAATGATGCTATAGAGCATCACAAAAAAAGCCAGTTTCCAATGACTACAACTGGGCTTATTACACATGGTAAATGAGTTAGTTTCTAGGTTATACATACCTTATTTTAAGGAGAATTAGGGAGTTAGAAGATGGAGCTTTAAAGATAACTTGAACTGAAAGGGGGGAAAAAAGGTTTAAAGCAGAAATTTTGGTATTTGATATAGTATAAAAGTCTGTGAAATAAACTACCTTCAAAAGTTTCTAACATATCCATCCAACAGTTTAAAAACATAGTGTTACTAGAAAATAAAACCTCTTAAAAACTAAAATATTTTTCTCAACTTTAGTAACTTAAGGAATAAATCCATAGCCACCGTTTTTTTGGGGTAGGGATTTAACATTAATACAAAGATTGCCCAGTCATGAATTATATTGAGCATGGACTTACAGTAAGTCCAAAATTCTGCCCAAGTGACCTTGAGTCTCATGATTTACTTTTGAACCCAAGTTCCCTAAAATCAAAAATTGCACCAGGTATCTGTAGGTCCCTATGCTCAAGAAATTAGTAACATTTACTATCTAAAGTTTGTTAAAAAGTCCTCCATGTTTAAGCCTGTTACTGTTGGGCATTCCTTTTTTTTTTTAATCAAAACAGATTAGATAATTTAGCAGATTTTTAAATCAACATGGGAAGCAAGTGACTTTCAGATTTACTTGCTATCCTAAAGGAAAGACACTACCAATCAAAGCAGAAAAAGCATAAAGCAATGAAGAACCCAAAATAAAAAAAGATCTATGACAGTATATTCTATTTCTGGACATACCTTCACTGTCTTCATGATTTAAAGTCATGGAAATAAATGAGTCATTTGATTAACTTTTACTAATATTACTCACAACTCAATTTATATTTTTATTTTTCATATTCAGCCTATTTCTAAACTGCCAAGAAGTGTATTCCCATGCAACTCTTACTCTAAGTTTGAATGATTTCCCAAGACTCAAGAGATAAAAATAAAAAAATAAAAAACTTTTCAAGAAAAACAACCCTATATAAATCCTTGATATCTAGGTCAAGCTTACCTACCTTGTGATCCCAAGTATCATTAGTGAGGTGGCACTCTAGACACATCGTCCTTATTTCTTATTGGGCTTATTTACTAACAAGGTTTTGTTCTTTCCTAAAAATGTTCTCTTCAAATTAAGTGCTATGACAGTTATGCATTTCTTGTAAGAGTTCAATTTTATTAGCTTTCTATAACCCTCCACTGACAAAAAATAAAGAATTTAAATAGAAAACCCACAGAAGTTGGTTATCTTTTGGTTATACATGTGAAAATCTCATTTGAGTCCCATTTCTTTTAAACGTCATCTCAAAATACCAGTAAGTGGTTTGTAAATAAGTACAAGTTTGTGACAGTTTTCCATCTCTCCTACTTAATTATTTATTTAATGAATACACTCACTTGGAATTAAAGTTTTGAAAAAGTAAATCTCACCCCCCCCAAGCGCCACCTACCACAGGTGAGCAGTTAGCAAGTTCTAGTGTAAACGCCCAGATATTCAAAGCATGTATCGCTTTATAAGCTAATCAAAGGATTCTTTTCCGTTTGCTTATTATATATGCTAAAATTCAGTGTTTAAATATACCCTTCCACTGAAATCAATGGAAAAAGCAGCAGTAATAAAGCTGGCTGAAATCAGGAATGAGCCTTAAAAATTTGAAAGGCAACCCCTCCACTGGCACTTCAAGTTAGTACCAGGAAGGAAGAAGCCTAGAGCAAAAGTTTCCGAAGTGGAATGAAGCTTTATTTGTGATACAAGGAAGCCATTAGTAACATCACTACCATTTTCGAAATGACTTTAGCTTGCGGCTTCTCCATCACTTGCTTCATCAAAAGAATAAAATAATCTTCCAGACAGAATTGCAATGTTTACTTAAGTTGAGGATAAGCTGAAGCACAGTAAAGAGGTATCCCCAATTCAACACACAGCAACCGGATTCCACGACAAACTAATTATGAAGTTTTGATCGAGAATGAATTTCACGAACATCGAGAGCATTCAATCAAAATAAAGAGCGATATAAAAAAGGGGGTGGGAAATCTGCATTTACATAATCCATTCTATTGTTAATTATTAAATGTCTGATACATGGTCACACGTTTTCCTGCTGCTCTAAACCCTACAGGAAAGCTTTTTAAATGCGTTTCCAATTACCTTCAACAGGAAAACTGGCCTATTTACCATCCAATGAGCAAAAGGCATGGCATTCTGAGAGTTAGGATGGAAATCTTGTTGACAAATATCTAGTGGTTAGTTCAGATGTGATAACATTTTAGGATAGTCCAATGTTTAAGTTCAGAATCTCAACAGAACAATTACTAAATGAGATGATTTTATCCAGTTTAATACTCGATGTACGTTTAGTGTAGTGTCTCATAAAACCTTCCACTTGATGCCTTTTTTGCTTTTAGTACGTAATAGATAGTAATTAATTGGGCTGAGGACCTACTCATCCTGGAAAAGTTTCAACTTCACGGTGAGGAGACCAAAGACCTAAACTTCTGGCCAATTGCAACCTGAGTTCCTTACCACCCCCGCCTACCCAGCGCCCACAGCAGAAACACTACACAATGCAACACAAAGGAGAAGGCAGTTGCTGCCCCTCGGAAGAGAATGTTGTCCCGACTGGTCTCCGGGTAGCTGCGGGCTTGGAACTGAGGTGCCAAGTAGAGGGAGGAGGAGAGACTAAGCTGGGACTTCCCAGCAGCCGATGCCTCGCCTCGGCCCGGCCAGGTGGACACACGGGATGCACAAGAACGCAGCGGAAAAGGGAATGGCATACGGCACAGAAGGCCCAAGCCGCGTGACGCAGGAGCCCGCCCAGACCCGCTGGACATCTGGCATTCTCCGAACTCCGTGTTGGAGCCGGCGGTCAAGGGCGACCAGTGACAGCGCGACCGCAGCCCCGATCTCTGCCCCACCCTCCGCAAGAGCTCTGGAGAGCAAGCTCCTGCCTCTGGGGACACTCGTCGCCCGCCAGCCTCGCGTCACCCCCAACCCCGAGCTCTCCGGCCACGGGCGCACCCGCCGCGTCCCGCCCCAAGGCCGGTGTCAGAGTCCCGTTCGCGCACCAGACCAAATCGCGCGATGTGCGACCCCGAGGCACGCTGGGAACGGTAGGTCGCCAGCAAAGCCAGGAGCCCCGCAGGTGCCCACGCCAGGAGGGAAGAACTACAACTCCCGCAGTGCCCACGGAAGAGACACGCCAGCCCTCCGACGGTCGGGACACCCCCTACCTGCCGTCGCCGCAGCTGCCACTGCGCCGCCACCACCACTGCCACCGCGGTGGGGCGTGTTCCGCTTCTTATTCTTCGGCATCGTGGGACGCCCGGGGCCGCCTAAACTCGGAGCTTAGCGAGGATCAGCCGATGGAGCTGCACTTTTTACTCGTGCGTCTGTGCGGCGGGCGGCTAAAAGGCGAGTCTTCGGCTAACAACAGAGGCGAGCAGCGGCGGGGGTAAAAGTGGGTAGTGGCGGCCGCAGAAATCCCCGTTAAGAGCTGTGATCGGAAACGACACATGTTTCTCTCTAGCGCGGGAGCTAAGGCGGGGCAGGCCAGGCCACGACGCCTTAAGTATGCAGACCGCCGCTGGCGTCACCGCCGGTGGGCGGGACTCGAACGCTCACTGGCAAGTGCGTGCAGCTGTCCCCGAGCCCGGCTTCCGGCGGCCGCGCCCAGTTCCGGGACGTGTAGTAGGCGCCGGGCCTGGCCTGGCCCCTCCCGGCGGGCTTGTGTGTCCACCTGCGTCCCTCTCGTGACTCCGCCTGCATCCGTGGCCCTGCCTGGGGTGGACTTAGGTGCTCACGTGTCATGAGCAATGGAGCGGGTGTGCCTGATGACTACAGCTGGCTTCCAGCAGCGGGCGACGCAGTCAGCCTCGCTCGTCCTGCTGCAGCGGCCGGCATTGTTCTCCTTAACCTTTCCCCTGCTTCTGTGAGGCCTCAGCCCGGGCACAGCCATGCCCATCCTTGGAAACACTGGTTTTAGTAATTGAGTTGATTTACCGATCATCAGTGTATATAATTGAACCGTGGTTCAGGGCTGTGTGCCCCCCCAAACCCCTCCAAAAAAAGGTGTGCTTTAATCTACTTGGTTGTGTAGCTCGCGTATTTCTTCCAGACTTGTGATCTGGCGATTCAGTGTCTACAGGTTTCTATACAAGAATGTGTCCTTTGGTAATTCTACCTAACGATTAGGAGGTCAGTCTGGGATAGAGTTGGTTTCTGAGAACCTAACAGCTGGTAAAACAAACATGAGCTATAAATATCATTAATCACAGTGTTTTTTATTTTCCAAAGTGCTCCTAGATCTCTGTCTTCCTTCTTAACATCTGTCATGCATTTAGGACCTGTTATTAGGTTCATGTATTCTTATGACAGACAAACTCACTGACTCACCTCAGTGTAGGCGACTCATCCCCCACTCCACCTCTCTCCTGAGCTGCTTCTCTTATCTTCAACTGCCTGTGGCACATTTCCACCAGAATGTTCCATCTGCACCCCAGTCCTACATCTCTAAAACAAATACTGTTTCCCTTTTTTTCTGTCCCCTTTCTGTGTTCACAGTACTACTAACCTCTCATATGTCCAAATTCAAAATCTCACCCTCTTACATGGATCCTCTCTTCAGTGCCCCACAAAACAGTGTTTTACAGTAAAACTTACATGCATGTCCTATTCTCAGTCACACAAGGCCTTAGTTCATGCCTGGGCACTTAAAGGGATTTCTGTCTTCACCAGTGTTCTCATGTGTGATAGTGCTGCCAGATTAGTTTGTATATCCTCTATTTTACTAATTCACCTTCTTTAATGCTTGCTCAAAAACACCCCTTGGTTTCAGAACCAGTATGGTAAATGTCAACCCTCGTAGCCTGGCCTGGACTCCCTTTCCAGCCCCATCTCACTGCTGCTCCCCACACGCCCTGTTCTTCAGACACACAGGACTACTTTGCATTTCCAGTACATAGCTCTGCTCTCCTACCTCCATTTATCATTCCCATTCTATCTATCTTTCAAGATACAGCTTAAATGCCACTTCCCTCATGAAGCCTTTAATCAGAATTGTTTCTCCTTACAATTTTCAGCACTCTTTGTGATGCTCTAATGTCACTTAGTACATCCCCAAAGGCCACACGGTGTATTCAAAGATGCTATTTAAGGGGCAGCATTTCAGGTTGCTTTTACTTTGGTTAACCCTGAAGCAGCAAGACAACTGCTTGGAGCACCTGACCAGAAATGGATGCAGGCTGGTAGACTCCGCTCCAGTTCCCGTGCATCATCCTTCAGATGGCTGCACACCTTAAGTCTGATGGCTTTGGCCTACACTGAGGGAGGTGACCCCGACTGCAGGAGCACAGAACTCCATACCTTTTATAATCCCAGACTCTCCATCATCCAGACACAACTAATGCTATACATAAGGCAACAATTTTGGTACTCTGTGAGCCACATGGCTCAGTCTTGGAAACTTGTCTCAGACCTTGAAACTTTTGCTTTGCTTGCATATGGGACACATTCCTTTCATCTGCATCCATTTTTGTCCACTTAGAGACGTTTCTTGGGCAGGCCTACCCATGGCCCAACACATCATATACCTACTTGTGTTAAATCTATTTGTGAACATAATCAATCGGTCATCCCATGAAATCGTCAGCTCTCCACAAACGAGAACCTTGTTCTTGTTTCATCTCTTCACCTCATGGCACATAAAGAAGTATATCTTTCTAATTATAGGTAGTAAGTACATGTTACTTGAATATTTAAGAAATAATTATTGACTAGATTTTTCTGGATCAAGAAAAGGGAAAAAACATTACATGCATGGAGTATAACTTTTAATATAATGAACTCTGAGAGACCCTTTTGATAAAATGATCTTGCTATATTTTATATCTGCAGTTTAGATCAGTACAGCTACCAGAAAGATTTAGCTGTAGTTCTCATAACTCAATATATTGATTTTGCAATATTTTAAAAGAAATTAGAAGACTGCAAACATCACTAAGTGAATCATCAAATAACTACAAATACCAGGAGGAAATGGAACAGAACAAAAGGGCTTTTTCCTAGCCAGGCTTGGCCTTTTTGTTTGGGAAAGAACACCTTTTCCAGGGACTTCTGCCTGAATCTCATTGGCCAGATATTTGCCACATGATGATCCCTTGTAGAAAGGAAGTCTAAAAAGAGTATTTTTAGTTGGTCTCAATTTTAAGTTCTGTTGAAATGCATGAAGGGGAGATCATGGATTTAAGGTAGGCAGCTATAGCAATGGGGAAGGTTTTTCCATGCTCTTATCAAAGTAAATATCACATATTTATTGCCACCTTGACATTATGTGATACCTTTTGCCTCTTACCAGCAAGATGTATCCTCCTATAAAACACCACCTACAACATTCCATCTATAGATTTACCATCATGGTAAAGTATACTCAGATGTCGCAAAAATACATTTTACATTAATCTGAATTTATAGGCAACACCTGAGAAGATTTTGGACATCTCATGGAGTTTGTATATTTAGGACTTTGGTTCAAGAACAGTGAACACAAATAAGGCTTGGTATTCAAACCTCCCTTGAAGGTGTAAACGTGAAAGGTTTTCTTTGAATGACTTTAGTCATGGCTTTCTTGGGATTCTTTGCAGAGCATCAGGCAGAATTAAGTATCTCCCAGATCCATCTAAGACTTGTCATAATCTAGATCCTGCATGTCTTCCCAACTCATCTCTCACTCACCTAACAACACAGTCCCTTCTCTTCTGCCATATAGAACTCCTAGCAGGTCTCCGAGCTCACCATGCTCAAGCTGCTGGGCCTTGCACTGGTTTGGTACCTGCCTACTGCTCCACCTCATCTCTTCCTCCCCCATTTCTCACCTGCTACACTTCAGGGACACCTGTCTTCTTTGCCAACTCAAAAGACACAGTTAATTCCCCCACTTAAGACTTTTGTAACAGCTCCGCCTCTGCCTAATATGATCATCCCCTGAGCTTCCCACCACTGCCATTCAGATCTCAGCTTTAAATGATACCTTCCCCACTGTCCATTCTAATTATCCCCATCCCCACTTACCACCACCCCACCTATATTATTCTCCTATAGCACATCTCACCACCTAATATTTGTCTAGTTCAGTTATTGAGACTCTGCCCTGCTAAAATGTTAGAATTATGAGAAAGGATATTTTGCTTGTTTTGTTCACTGCTGTATCTTCAGTACTGGTACTTAGTAGATATTCAATCAATGTTTATTGAATGAATAAATGGCTAAATAATTGAGTATCACTCCTGTGCCTGGGATATCCTTCTCTACTCACCTTCATCCTCTAAGTCACAGATTCTGGATGCCCCCACCTGAAACACATCTGATTTAAATGTCTCACTTCTGTGTTCCTATTGTAACCTTCCCCAGAATAGCATTATTTATATATATACTGTAATTCCTGATTACTTAGCTATTTCCCCACCAGACACAAAGTGGGCAAAATCCAAGTTCATCATCTCTGAAGCAGACACGCACATGTAGCACCACTGTGCATATTAAAGAGAGGCCAGGGCACCCAGGTTAATGAGTAATAGTGGGCTGGAATTCAGCCTCCCTCTCCCTTCAGCAGGGAACAGCCTAGAAGTCTATGGCCCTGGCAGACAATAATGGTTTGTTTAATTCATTAAGGGGGCGAATTTCCTCTATCTGAGCATTTTCTTAAAAGAAAAGAAACTAAGGTGACTGAAAGGATGAAACTGACAGTTACTGAAAGTCTGCTCTGTTGCTGGCACTGTTAAAAGTTCTTTTTTTATTTTTAACCACCTTTGTATGATTGACATACAAAAAGCTGTACATGTTTAATGGATACAACCCGATGAGTTTGGAGCTAAGTATACACCAGGGAAACCATCACCACTATCAATGCCATAAACACACCCATTACCTTCACAAGTTTTCTTCCACCCTGTGTGCATGTGTGTATGTGCATGTGTGTGAAAAATACAATTCTAGGTTCTTTTCACACATTTCATGTACTTCTTACAACAACCACATGCAGGGAAGATTAGTTTTAACATATTGTGGATGAAGAAACAGGCTCAGAGAGATTTTGCAACTTCCCCCATGGTCATACCATTAGTAAACATTGAGTCTGATTAAAACCCAGGCACATCTGATTCCAAGGTTGTCCCTGGCTGGCCTCGGCTTATTCCCGAGAATTCCCTTGGGCTTCTTCCCAGGAGTCATGGGTTATGTATGCAGTACTGTTAGGACAGGCCCATGTGCACAAAATCTTGTCTTGTTCCCTTTTTTTTTAATGTGCCTTGACCATTAGTGTTGTTGACTGCCTGATGATTATTGAGCAGATTTAGATTTTTCTGATATTTCTAAGTCTGTAGCGGAACTGTATTATCGAGTAGCAATGCTATTGTCAAATAATGTTTTTAAAAATGGATTATCATTTGTTATGTTTCAGGTTACAGTTGCTTTCTTAACTTGTTTGCAAGTTTTACTGCAAGGAATGGTGATACATTTTAAATTTGAGAAATTCTAAGAAAGGATACAGTAGCAATTTTAAGTTAGAACTCTTAAGCCTTATCATTTATTTTATTTGCCTATTATCTTTTTGCTATGTAGGAGATATTTCCTTTTCGTTTTGTTTTGAAATTATATACTTTCTCTACTGAAATTTCTAATAAAAGAGTAAGTTCAATTGTCTTCTGAAAAGAGAATATTGCTTATCTTACAAATTTGTGGTATTACCAATAAAACAATATAAGGCTATGTTAGAAGAGTACCGTGGACCATAAGTACTATAATATACACAGCCAGACAATAACATTGATCACATATAATGTTGGAAGAGCTTTTCATGGCAACAACACACAAGGCTATGTTAGAAGAGTACCGTGGACCATAAGTACTATAATATACACAGCCAGACAATAACATTGATCACATATAATGTTGG